TTTTTTGCTCCCCCTAAAATATGCATAACTGCCTGCTTTTATAGTGAATAAACGTGAGGTTTTGGGAGGGAATTTTGGTGAATTTGAACAAAGGTGATAATCTGTTTTTGACGCTTTTCTGATGCAGTTTTGGTGTGTGCCATTTGAGGCAATTCTTGGACAGATGTGCACAGGTTTTTGGACAGGAGTTTAACAGTTTTTTGGTGGTGGAGGCAGCAGAGGTGACCGTTAATGGGCAGCAGATGCAGGGAATTTGGACAGAGCATATAGACATGTTTATATTTTCATAATATTAATGATAAACAACAATGACAATAATAATAAAATAATTGTTAGTAAAACTAAACTGAAAATGTAAAAGTGAAATAAAAAGATATTAAAATTTTTGGTTTTTTCAAATAAAGTGATGCAAAAATATAAATTATATGTAACTAAGATTTTTTTAATAATTTTAAATTAACATAAAGAACTTGCAAAATAAAAGAATGTGAAATTACTATTTTTTGAGATTTTTTACTAAATTAAATCTAAAAGACTATAATTTTAACTTAAATGATACAAGAACAAAAAACTAAATGAAACTTAAGGAAACTAATTTTTTTTATATTTTGAATATTTTGAATAAAAACATAAATAAAATGAAAACAGCATGAACTAAATATTTTTAGGATTTTCTTTTTTTATGAAAATAAGAATAAAAGAAAGATGATAAAAAAAAATAACAAAACATGATTTAATAAAGTCAGACAAAAACCAGTTAAATTTCACTAAATTCACAACAATTTCTAACGTCTCTATTTTTTGGTGGATTTTAAAAGCATAATCATCTCTTGACTTGTAAAGAAAAGTTGTAGTTGTTGCAGAGGAGAATCATATGAAAAAGGACCACTAAAAAATGTCAAAATTTGAAAAAGTTATGAATTTTTGAAATCTAACTCGAGAATTGGCAAAAATAGGTTGAATCGCTTGTGAATGCTTGTTCTGTAACAATGCAGATGGGAGGTGGTATCTTAGGTCAAAATTTGGGGTATGACAGTTGTACATATCAGGCATGAAGAGCAATTTGCTCAGTATAGAGCAGTTGGTCAAAAAAATTTATAAAGTGTCGGTCGAAGATAAGATGATGAGAGTCGTCGATGCAAATGGAAGATTAATCTTAAAGGCTCCTATGTCTCATAATAGAACCTTCAAGATCGAACTAAATGTGATGGAGCACAAGTGCCTTTCGACTGCATCTAGCAGAGATGAATGGATATGGCATTATCGACTAGGCCATCTCAACTTCAGAGACATCAGATATTTGAAGAGAAGAAATATGGTTTCAGGATTGCCAGAAATCGACATTCCAAACGAGGTATGTGAGGATGTGTGCAGACGAAACAGCATAAGAATAGCTTCATCAAGGATGTAGGAAGCGGGTCAGAGGTTATTCTTGAAGTCATATACTCTGATGTATGTGGACCAATCCAGGTGGATTCGATTGGAGGTAACAAATACTTTGTTACATTCATAGATGATTTCAGTCGAAAGCTGTGGACTTACCTGATCAAGAAGAAAAGTGAAGTGATCGAGGTATTTGCCAAGTTTAAGTCTATGGTCGAAAGACAAAGTAGTTGAAAACTCAAAATTTTGAGAATTGGTGGTGGTGGAGAGTATGTGTCGAAAGACTTCGACAGGTTATGTGAAAAGGAAGGGATTGTGCATGAGGTGGTCCCACCCTATACTCCACAGCATAATGGAACTGCAGAAAGGAAGAATCGAACCATCATGAGTATGGTGAGAAGTATGTTGAATAGCAAGAACTTACCTAAAGAGTTTTTGGGTGAAGTTGTATCGACTGTAACATACATTTTGAACAAATGTCCTACGAAAAGGCTAGAAGGAATTACTACAGAAGAATGTTGGTCTGGTGTGAAGCCTAGATTGAGTCATCTGAAGGTATTTGGATCTATTGCACATAGACATGTTCCAGATCAGTTGAGAAGAAAACTTGATGACAAGTCGAGTCAAATGATTCTAGTTGGATATTATTCAACAGGAGGTTACAAGTTTTTCGACCCAATGAACGAGCAGATTGTGATCAACAGGGATGTGATCATAGATGAGCTTAAAGAATGGGATTGGACTGAAAATATCAAGAAAGATTCAGTGGGAATCCTACTTGAAGAACCGGAAACTCAAGTCAAAAGAGAAGTTCGACAAAATGAACCAGTAGTTATAGATCAACCAAGTACAAGCAGGCCTCAAAGAACAAGACGCATACCTACAAGATTGCAAGATTGTGTGATTACATCAGATGATGTGATATATAATGAAGGTGAATTGCTACATTATGTTTTCTATGCAGATGCTTAACCTGTCAATGCAGTTGAAGCATTGAAGGATTCGAAGTGGGTGAAAGCAATGAACGAAGAAGTAAAGTCTATCGAACACAATAACACTTGGTCACTTATCGAATTGCCTCAAGGCAAGAAGGCAATTGATGTCAAATGGGTATACAAAGTGAAGATGAATCCCAAAGGGAAAGTAACTCGACACAAAGCAAGGCTTGTAGCCAAAGGATTTCTACAAAAAGAAGGAATAGACTTCGATGAAGTTTTTGCACCTGTTGCTGGGTTCGAAACAATCAGGTTGGTTATTGGTCTAGCAGAAATAAACAGATGGCACATATGTCAGATGGATGTGAAGTGTGCATTCCTGAATGGACCATTTGAAGAAGAAGTTTATGTTAAACAACCAGTTGGGTTTGTGAAACATGACGAAGAGAGAAAGGTGTACAAGTTGTATAAAGCCCTGTATGGATTGAAAAAAGCTCCAAGAGCTTGGAATAAGAAAATTGATAGTTTCCTAAGGGAGAAGGAATTTGTGAAGTGCACAACTGAACATGGAGTATATGTAAGAAGAAGCAATACTTAATTTCTTATACTATGTCTCTATGTCAATGATTTGTTGATAACAGGTAGCTGCAAAAGTGAGATCAATGACTTCAAAGGTGATCTCAGCAAGGAATTCGAAATGTCTGATCTGGGCGATATTTCATATTTCCTTGGCATCGAATTCTATAAGAGCAGTAGAGTTTTGATGATGCATCAAAGAAGATATGCAGGAGAAATTCTCAAGAGATTTAAGATGGAAGAATGCAACTCAATTTCGACACCTGCAGAACCAGGACTGCAACTATCGAAAGATGCAGATGAAGATGATGTCGACCCAACCCAATACAGAAGACTTATTGGGTCATTGAGATGCCTTTGTCATACAAGGCCCGACTTAGGATATAATGTAGGTATGGTAAGTAGATTCATGCAGAAGCCAAAGGTATCACATCTAGAAGCGGTGAAGAGGATGCTAAGGTATCTCAAATGAACTCTCGACTATGGCATTTTGTTTCCTGCAGTTGATAAAGGAAAAGAATGCAAGTTAGTGAGATACACTGATTCGAGTTGGTGTAGTGATGCTAAAGATCAAAAATCAACAACAGGATATGTGTTTATGTTAGGTGGTGCACCAGTTGCTTGGAGTTCAAGAAAGGAACCAGTAGTGGAATTATCATCATGCAAAGCAGAATACATAGCTACTTCTCTTTGTGCATGTCAAGCAACTTGGATGGTGAACTTGGTCGAAGAGATAACAGGGAAAGATCATGGAGAAATTACCATGAAGATCGACAACATGTCATCTATTAATCTGGCGAAGAACCCGACAGCACATGGTCGAAGCAAGCACATCGAAATGAGGTTCCACTATCTTCGAGAGCAGGTATCAGATGGGAAGATGAATTTGGAACATTGTAGAATTGAGAATCAGATTGCAGACATCATGATGAAGGGAGCGCAGGTCGAAGTATTTCGAAGACTAAGAACTATGATGAATGTAGATAGCTTAGACACGATGAATTAGGTGGTGTGTTGAAAGTAATTTCTTGTGTCGGAGCAGTTTTCTCGACAGAGACAAGGGAGTGTCGAAGTAGGTGTGTCGAAAATGCTACACACATATTTGATTTGTTTTAGATTTAGATAGATTTGATTTAGATCTAAAATAGATAGATTTGATTTAGTACCAAAATAGGTATTTTGGGCTTTTATAGTTCTGGGTTTTGGCTAACCTAAATATATAAATAGAGGGAGTAACCCCTAATTTTGTAATCAAGTCAATTCATTGTAATATCAGAATTTGCAGTTGCAAGTGGTTAATAAAGTTTTCCATAATTTATGGGCAGAGAAAAACTTTATAGAAAATAATTGTCTTATTTCTTTTCTTTTCTCATAATTGATTGTCATTGTGTGGTGATATCAATCTTATTCATCAAGATTGATAGAAATTTATCATAGATATTTAGTGGATTTCTAATAAATTAGACAGTTTGGATTACATTTGAAAAATATACACATTTGATATTTTAGCAATAGAAATAGTTAATATTAATTATAAATTTATTAAATAGCAATGTTATATCTCAGAAATTAATTTTTAAAAGATTAATTTTTTAATTTAAAAAAAAAAAGCAGCACAACTTATTATTTGTTTGTATTTGTGTATAAAGTAGTTTTTATATATAAATATGAAATCATAAAGGTTAAATACAAGCACCTAATTCTTATAAAGATTATTGAATTATATGCATACTTAAACGTTTTGTAAATTTAAATCGAATAGAAACAAACATCTAAAAATAAAACTCCAAAACAGGGAACCGTGTGGATGAAGGTATCACATACGATGAATACACTACAACTGCATTGAATAGTACTAGAGTTGGCAATCTATCACAATAAACCATTATTTATGCACCGGCCGCGCCAAACACTCTTCCACCCTTTTAGCTATAAACAATTTTGACGTGATTCATCATCCTAATACCACGTGTAACCTTTTCATTCGTCATACTTTTTCATCCTCTTGCATTCTTAAGCTTCAACTTTCTTCCCCCTTTTCCCCTGTTTCATCACTACTCAATAATTTCACATCTCTTGGGTCTAATTCTACAATATTCCTCAGCCATGGGAGAAAAGCAAAAGGTTAATCTCATTCATTCATTTATTCTTTTTTTTTTTTTATTAATTGTTTTGATGATCCTTCTCTTTCTCTTTCTCTTGATCAATTTGATTCAGGTCACCACAATAATGAAACTCAAAGTTGATCTTCAGTGCAATAAATGCTACAAAAAAGTCAAGAAAGTTCTATGCAAATTTCCTCGTTAGTCTCATCTCTCATCACTTTGCTTAATTTTCAATCATAGTTTAACATATTAATTAAATTGAATTGATTTTTTTTTGTTTTGTTTTGTTTGGTGTTTGAAATATTTGTGAACAAGAAATTCGAGACACTGTGTACGATGAGAAGAACAACGTGGTAACAATCAAAGTGGTTTGTTGTAGTCCTGAGAAGATCAGAGACAAGATTTGTTGCAAAGGTTGTGGTGTCATCAAAAGTATAGAAATTCTTGAACCTCCTCCACCTCCCAAACCCAAACCCAAAGAACCAGAAAAACCCAAGGAGCCTGAAAAGCCCAAAGAGCCTGAAAAGCCCAAGGAGCCAGAAAAACCAAAACAACCGGAGAAGCCAAAAGAGCCTGAAAAACCCAAGGAGCCTGAGAAGCCAAAAGAATTGCCTCCTCCACCGCCGGCGCCGAAACCCAAACCACCGAAGGAGCCTGAAAAACCACCACCACCGTCGCAGCCGGAGTACATACCGGGACCGCCACCTTCAATTCCGGTATGTCCTCCGCAGATGGTAGTTCCAATTGGGGTATGTTGTGGATCATGCTATGAAGGTAGGGAAGGTGGGCCATGTTTTCAGGGCTACGGTGGGCCACCACAAGTAAGTTGTTACGATGGGTATTACGGGAGACCGATTTATGACAGTTACGGTGGTGGGAGACCTTGTTATGTGAGTCGTTGTGATGAATATTTGTGTGAAGAAAATGCATCTGGTTGCACGATTATGTGATGATCTCATTTTCCAAATATGTTACTAGTGGCCAACTGGTTTGGTTATTCATGCAATGCAACCGTCACTATACCACCTAATATTTATCATAGGTGGTTCATTTTTCATCATCAAAATTCAAAATAATGGACAAGTTTTTGTTTCTGGTAAATAAAGGGATTTGGCAGAAAGCAAATCGTATACTATGGAGTTGGAGAGAATTATATATATGGAATATATAATGTAACAGATATACTACTATTATATAGTAATGTCGTTTTTTAATGTGCAAATTGATTGAAAAATGGGTTTATTTGATGAAAAAACGGGTCATGTATTTTACACTCTCAATCAATTATGAGTATGTATTTTGCTAAATCAAATTGATATGACTTTACTGAATGATATATTTTTATTTAGATAATAGTGTAGTGTAGTTTCAATGTATAACCATGTAGTAACTCTTATATGATTTACTAAAAAGGGAGGATTTATGTTCAAATACAAATTAATTTATTTTTCTATTTTTAATATAATAAAAATAATTATCATCATAATTACTTCATTAACCAACTAAAACCAGTTTTATCAAGGATTTTCAAAGACATATAAGTCATTACAATTTCTAATATTTTATTTAAGGGTTAAATATGTTTGTGATCCTTATAAATATCTCAAATTTCATTTTTAATCCCTATTAAAAATGATAAATTTTGGTCTCTAAAAAATTTTTGTTCATCTAATTTTAGTCTCTATTATTTTCTAAAATTTTAAAAACTGTTTAATTACCCTTAAACTTTTAAATTTGTGAATAATATTTTCCATACTTGTTTAGAATACTATAAAATATTTATTTATCAAATTTTAGAATTTTTTAAAATGAGAAGAATTAAATATGATTTTTTTTAATTTCAAAAGATATTGATAAAAATAATGAAAATCTCGACTTAGAAATTAAATTTTGAATTTCTTTTTTTCCAAAAAAATTTTTATAACGTTCTAAACATGTCTACAAAATAATCATTCAAAAATACACATTGGTTTAACAACAGGGACTAAAACTACGTACATAATAATTTTGTAGGGACTAAAACTTGTCATTATTTTAATAAGCACTAAAAATGAAATTTGAGATATTTATAGGGACCAAAAATATATTTAACCCTTTATTTAATTTAGATTTTCTTTTTTACTGCATCTTAACTATTTGTTCAACTACATTTAACTTCTCCATGTATAATACTTGCAATTTCTATTACATATATTCAATACCTAACATTGGAAACCCTCATCCATTGCACAAGTTTCCTTTCTGTTGCACTTTCCCTGTTGTTTCCTCCATCTTTATAAGAGAAGGTCCTTCGTCTCAATTTCTTCCATTCATTCATCTTCTCTCCGATTCCATTTCATACACAGAAAGCAATTTTCTCCTTATACGATATTCTTCAACAATTTTGCTTTTGTGTTTCGATTTTCAGATTGTTTAATCGAAACCCTAAACTATCATATCAAGATTAGTCGTTATTTCAAATTACATAGAGCAAACATATACTGATTTTTTCCTAAAATTAATTCATTATGTTTTTCATTTGTAGAAGCAGAAGATGAGTAGGAGATTTGTTTGTGTCAAGGACATTAACGACACAAAGGAAACATGGAGATTGGTTGTTCGAGTCATTGATTCATGGAGCGTTATTAACAGCAAGGGCATCGAGCATTTGGAGATGGTTATCATGGATGCAGCTGTAACATTTTGGAAATTTGTCAAATCATGTTATCTATTGTGAAAAATAATGTTCTGCTGTTATTGATTAGGTTTCTTATGTCATCTGGGTGATAGGATCCAAGTATTGATTCGTGCTGACATACAACAAAATGGAAGGAACCAATTCAAAAAATATATGATTTGCATAATCAACAATGGCACGGTGTTTGATAATGAGTTTCAGTGGAAGCTTTGTGATCATTCGAAGAAGTTCATGTTTCTTGGTAGTACAACTTTGAAAGCTATTGATATTCAGAACCTTCCTCCTAAAAGCTATTATTTCAAAGACTTTTCGGATATCCTTGAAGGAAAATGTCAGCTTAACAGACTTGAAGGTATGATAATATGCATATGTTTTGATTTTGCTATAGGGACTTTATTAACAATGATTATTTTAGATAGTTATTTATACTAAATTTTTTATTCTTTTTTATATGTATCATTGGTGTTGTACAAGAGATCAATAATTTTCAAAATAACACATCGAGAAAAAAGACATTTGTTTCACTGAATTTGAAAGATCTGGTGTAATATATTTCATTCATGCCCTTTTCAGGATAATACTATTATTTAAGTTCCAATATTTCATATGAATATGTTCTTAATATGTATACTTTATATACTCAAAATAGTGGTAAAGTAGTCAACAGCACGTTATGGAAAAGTTATGGTTTTAAATTTTTGGACTACTACAATAAAGCAACTCACAGTGGTGCTATTGTAATTGTTCTGACTCATGCAATGATCAAGGATTCACAAGGTTTACACTGTTTTATTTTTGTGTGTTTATGTCAGTTATATTTCAATTTTTATCCCTTTTTTTGTTGAAATTTCAGTTTCAAGTGGATGAAGTGGTTTTAAGTTACTCATTAATAAAGACATTCCAGAGATCACTGAGTTTTTTTCTAAGTAATACTATTAACCGTTATTATTGTTAAGTTAGACTTCTTTTTTTATTGACAATTATTTACATGAATTGAGTTATAATGTTACGGGTTACCTGGAAATGAGCAGACTGAAAAGCCTACTCAATCCTCAAAATCAATTTCTCTTTGGTCTGGTGCATCTCAGTACACCACAGTTGAAAGATTTGTTCATAAGGCCAAGTGCGTCTCTTTAAGTAAGCTTTGCAAGGTCAAACAGGTATATTCCAACAGATAATTTTGAATAACAATTATTATTAGTTATACTTTAGTGACATTTCTAATAATTTTTAACGGATTGTTTTTTAGGATATGTTATGCGTCACTGTAGCAACTACTCAGAAGTTTTATGTTTCAAAGCATGGTTGGTTCTATTATGGATGTACCAAATGCTCTTTAAAGATACTTGATTTGAACAAACTCTATCAATGTTCATTTAAAGAAAATGTTACACAAGTTATACCAAGGTTATATCATTTAAGTGTATTTTATGCACAATTCAAAATTGGTTTCTTATTTTTTTTTATAGTTATTATTACATGATAAAAATAATAATGTTTAGTTTATTACTAAACAGTTAGTTTTAGTTTGTTATAGTTTGTTACAATTCTGTTTAGTTTGTTACTAAACAGTTTGTTACTTTAACAGTATATATAATGTTGTTTTGTACATTCCAAATCATAATGAAAACTATGAGTTTATTCCAAAATTAACATGGTATCAGTTTGAATTCTCTTTTCCGCGCCTTTCTTCTTCGTGCCTTCTTCTTCTTCGCGCCTTCGCGCCCCCTTCTTCCCTTGTTGTTTCAGCGTTTGTTATGGCGCTTCCTTACTCTGATTTTACTACCAATCCTTCCAATCCTTACTACATGCACCCTAATGAAAATCCCTCACTTGTTCTTGTTCAACCTGTTCTTGATACCAAGAACTACCAGATCTGGTCTAGATCAATGAAAGTAGCTCTTATCTCCAAGAACAAGATCAAATTCGTTGATGGCACTCTTTCTCCTCCCCCTACCTCCGACTCTTTATATGAACCTTGGCTGCGATGCAACAATCTCGTCCTCTCATGGCTTCAACGCTCGATTTCTGAGGAAATTGCCAAATCTCTTCTCTGGTATGATCGTGCTTCTCTTGTATGGAAAAGTTTGGAAAATCGTTTTTCTCAGGGAGATATTTTTCGCATTGCTGACATTCAAGGAAGTGTTGCTCGTCTTCAACAAGGAACTCTGGATGTCTCTTCGTTCTTCACAAAATTGATGACGCTTTGGGAAGAAAATGAGAACTTCCGGCCAATTCGTGATTGTACTTGCGCTATACCGTGCTCCTGTGCTGCTGCTTCAGACTTACGCAAATTCAAAGAACAAGATAAAGTTATCAAGTTCTTGAAGGGCCTTGGTGACCAATACGCTAATGTTCGATCCCAGATTATGCTGATGAAACCACTACCAACTCTTGATAATGTGTTTAATCCGGTTCTTCAACAAGAACGTCAATTCGACCTTCTTTCACCTTCTGCTTCTTCGATTGAGTCTCAATCATCTGTGAATCACCTTTCTCAAACACCTTCTCGTTCTTCTCACAACACTGGTCGTGGTCGTGGCCGTGGTGGCCATGGAAACAGACTATGTACCCATTGCAACCGCACCAATCACACCATTGAGACTTACTTCTTGAAACATGGCTATCCCCCTGGATTTCAACAACGCAAGCCTACTACATCTGTGGGGAATTCTGCTGATTCTACAGTGAATTCGATTCAAGATGCTGCATCCACATCAAACACCAGTCCAAGTGCTTTGTCTACGATTCAAGAACAATACACTCAGATTCTGCAGCTCCTCCAACAATCTAATTTGCAATCTCCTTCACTTCCCTCGATTAATTCAGTTTATACTGCTAATTTTGTGTCCAATACCTCTCCTCATACTTCCTCTGGTAAGAATTCCTCAAATCTTCCTTGTCATAACTGGTGGATCATTGACACAGGTGCCACTGATCACATCACCCATACCTTTGCCAGTTTCATTTCCACATACCACATTGCACCTAAATCTATGACAATGCCTAATGGTGACTCTGTCACTACAACTATTGTTGGTTCAGTTTTACTATGTGGTTCACTTGTCCTTCACAATGTTTATTACTTTCCTTCATTTCATGTCAATATTATTTCTGTCACCACTCTTTTTGACTCCACTTTATATGATGTGAAATTTTCTCCTAATTGCTGTCAAATTATGCAGTTGCCCCAATCCAAGATGACTAGATTTACAGCTAGGATGATTGGAAAATTGTATGTTCTTGATGCCACCCCACCTAAAACCATCTCTC